CGGTCCGAATACTGCAATTGGTGCAAAATAGAGCTGCCAGGTTGCTGACGGGGACGGGGCATTATGCTCACATGACTCCAGTCCTCCGTCAGCTTCACTGGCTTCCCATTGAAGCCCGGGCCCAATTCAAGGTGTTGATTATGACCTATAAAGCCCTAAATGGCTTGGGTCCTGGCTACCTGAACAAGCGCTTACGTCCGTATATGCCCGACTGCCCTTTGAGGTCTGCGGGAGAGTCCCTTCTCCGGGAACCCTCCATGAAAGAAATTAGGAGAGTAAGTACTCAGAGGAGGGCTTTCTCTGCGGTGGTGCCCAACCTATGGAATTCACTCCCCAAAGAGGTCCGCCTGGCACTGTCGTTACTGGTTTTTCGGCGCCAGGTAAAGACCTTTTTATTTAAACATCATTTTAATTGTTAAAACATATGATCTGGCCAGGGCAACTTCTTCTTCCTTCTCTTTTCTCCTCCTATATTATTTATTTACTTATTTTATACTGATAATTTTAATTTTATATTATTATGTTTGTAACTCAGTGTATTTTTTGTATTTTTGTATTTAATGGTAATTTATTATGTTCTATTGTATTTCAATGTATTTTATTGTGTTGTAAGCCGCCCTGAGGCTTCGGCAAGGGGCGGCATAGAAATGTAATAATAATAATAATAATAATAATAATAATAATAATAATAATAGTAATAAAAAGCTGGTCTTTTCAATTAAACTTTTGCAGTTGCTTTTCACAATAAGATTGTATGTTTTTTCTGTAATTAAAGAAGGAAAGGGAATATTACATTACTGTCACTCAGTTGATTAAAACATCATCTTTACCCACACAGTCATCCTCTTTGATGAACCTTTTCAAAAATGCAAATATATATCTGCTTTCTCAGGCAGTCCATTTCAGCAACCAGATTCCATAAAAGTATGATATGAAAAAGCCTGGGCTCTTTTGGAAGCCATCTTTGGGCAGAAAAGAGGATACAAATGTTTAAAATAATGAAATCCTTGATGAGCTCAGTCCTAGGCATGCTTATTCAGATGTAAGTCTTAATGTTTTCAATAGAATTTACTTCTAGGTATGTGTGTGTAGGATTACGTCCCCGTCCTGTCCCGTTCCCCCCGCCCTACACACACACACAAAGACACCATTTTGGTCAGGCCATCAGCTGTCATATATCACATACACATCAATTTATATGTAAAAGATCAGAATCTTTGTGTAATTTTCATGCTAGAACACTCTTTATAGATGTATTTCCATGTAGTATTTCTTTTTCCCAATATGGTTTTGTTTAAATGAAAGCTATTTAAATTAATGATATAAATCAGCAGGAAATAAGGGCACATGAAATATATTTATAGGCTTACTTATATTTCCCATGGATACTTCTTCATATATTTCCTAAGCATTGACCATAGAATTATGGTAGGGAAATAAGACCTCAAAATTATATTCATTTTGAATGAAGTAGAATATTGTTTACCCTGTTGTTTCATTCTTGCTACCACACCTTGCATCTTTTTGTTGCATTCAATACATTTCGCCTGCTTTGCTTGGTTTGCTTTGCTTTGCAAATTTACCTGGGTGGGATTTTCTTATGACCAGCAGCTGTGACAGACTGTGACATTATGGGAATAGAGCACCTGTACCCTGGTCAGTGTTTTATCCTTTCCATTGTTGAACCTTTCTGTTTCACTCTGCTTATACTCACGTCCATGACTGACAGGTTGAAGGATGGTTGATAACTAGGGCAGTTTATGAAAATGACATACTTACATTTGATAGGTAGAGTATAAATATTCATATTTGAGAAATGAGTCAATTATTTCTTCATCAAAGTAGAAAAACAACTTTCAATTAAATGTTTCTGATAAAGGCACTTGTACTATTTGAATGCAAAGATTTTTTTAAATTTAAAAAATAAAAAGTAAATGTGTATATTACAATAATAATCACTTATATTTATCTATTGTACTTTGTATTTTCCTTAGCAATGTCAGGCAAAGTGTCTTTCACTTCCTTCCAACTGCTACTATCAGCACATGTTTTTTTTTTTTCCTGCCACAATGATCAAAAACTTCTTGTCCATGCAGTGTGCTATTTGCCTACCACATACCAGTAAACCTCTTAATAGTTGAAGGGACACAGCTTACTTTACTTTACTTTACTTTACTTTACTTTACTTTCCCTCCCCACTTTCACTGTTGTCATGCAGTTTTTTCATCATTTCATATACAAAAAGATGACACAAGGCAAGAGGCTAAGAATGGCTGCATCTCTTTGGTAGAGGACTCCCATGAAATCACAGACCTGGTTTTTTCCTTCAAATCTTACAGGTGTTGCTGGTTTAAAGACATTTTGTAGACTACTGATGAAACATGCCCCATACACAATTAATTGACTCATGGGCAATACATGGTTAAGGAACATGGGTTTATTCCTGCTTTCTCAGCTGCTTGGACAGGAAGCCCTTTGCCATGGAGGAGTCAAAAGTCTTTGACCCTGTCTTACAGCCAAAAAGAGATGCTTTCTTGGCTGTTGTGACATTATTAAGAAATTCTATTTTCCATTTCCTCTTCAAATGTGTTTTGCTAGAGGTATCAGTTGGGAAGTCAGAGTGGGTGGACTCCACGTAAGCCCAGAAAAAATAAGAACACCCCAAGCTTGCCATCTAGTGGTTGACTCTTGCCTCAAGATACATTCAGATTTCAAGTTAATGCTTGAAATAATGACACGGCATATCCAGACGGTAAGGAATTACAGTCAACCATAGCACTCCTGTAAAGGGTATTAGAAAGTCGTCTTTCAGGAGACAAATACATTTTCTGCAGAAGGCCCACCTGAATGGAATTATTTGACTACTTTGGTTATATAAAGTCCTTCAAGGAAACTGCAAGACCTAATGTTAATTATTCACTATACAGATTCTTTGGACATGCTGTTATGGTAGAGATAGGAATCTGTGGTCCTCTAGATGCTGTTAGACTGCAGCGACTATCAGCTCTAGCCAGCATAGGCAATGATCAGGAATGAAAGTGTTGTAGTACAACATCCAAAGGTTACAGTTTTTCCATTCTTACATTAAGAGACCATGTGGTATGGTGGTTAGAGTGTTGGACTGGGGAAGTCCAGGTTTTAGTCCACACTTAGCCATGAAGCTCACTGGGTGACTTTGGGCCAGTCAGTCACTCAGCCTCACCTACCTCACAGGACTGTTGTGAGAATAAGTCATCTTGGGTTCCTTGCAAGAGGAAACAAGGCAAGGTATAAATGCAATGTAATAATGATGATCTATCTGATTATTCATTATTAAGGGTACTGACACAAAGGACACTTGTCTGAATCCATCTTTGGTCTAGTAGTCCAATGTTTAGAACCTATGTACATATTACTTGTTGAATGCTGATGGGAATGAACTGTCATATTCACATAAAACATGTGCCCCACTGAAAGCAAGCCAATGAAAATAAATGGCATCCCACACTCCCATATGCATTTCAATGCTTTATTGGATCTGTACTGCTGATCCTGCACATTATAGTTATATGGACTTGTGCATATAAATCTCTTTTGTTGGATCAGGGTGGCATTCAAATGTCATTACAGAGTTAAAGGAGCTAAATCTTCAACTCTAAAACATTCCTTACTGTATGACTGGCAATCTTGATGGAAAGTGCCGGGACTGATTGATACGAATTTAGGTATCAAAATAAAAGAATTTAAGTTTTCTCTGTCTTATTTGCTCATGAATTTGAATAGAAGTTGGGCATGGTTAGTAGCTATGCTCATAGTAAACCCACGTGGATTAGGCTCATAATTACTGTATTTTTAAAAAAATAAGTTAAAGAAGTACAAATTCTCATGCAGACAAATTATCTCTTAATGCATACATTACCAAGGGCAGAAGTGGGCAGTCTCTGGATGAGGGGATACATGCGGTCCTCAGCCTAATTGCAAAAACCCTCTGGGTACATTCCGTCCAAGAACAACCCTTCCTTTCCCTGGGAGGCCACTGGACTGAAAGGAAAAAAAAGAGATGCCAATAAGAGGGATAAAAAAGAGTGGGACTCAGGGAAGACAGGTAACTCACCCACTTGCGGTTCAGGCCCTGCCCAGCCCCGGCTTTGGCCTGCCTGCTGCCCGCATGCAGTCCCCAACAGATGACAGAAATTAGGTTGTCTGCACCTACTCTAGCAGTTTGGTTACATGATAATATCAAGGAATGCCCATACTGTAAAACTTACTGCTTAATAACCACATGCTTTATTTATATTATGTTTATATTGCACCTTTTTCCCTTCCAAGGAATTCAAGGCGGCTTACGCAATCCTCCTCCCAGTCTTATCCTCACAGTGACAACCATGTGACGTAGGTTGGGCTGAGAGTCTGTGACTGGCCCAAAATCACCCAGTTGGCTCCATGGCTGAGCGGGGACTGGAACCCAGGTTGCCTGAGTCCCAGTCCCACACTCTTAACAAGTGCACCACATTGATAGATTGATAAATAGGCACTGCACCCACTGAAATATCTATTATCCAAATATGTCTCGAGCAAAGGCAACGCTGCAGCTGTTTAGGAACAGCATTAAAGAAGCAATACTACTACAACCCTTCCAAGTGTGTGTACACATGATAGTCTGCTATGAACATAGTGCTGTGTGTTGTTTTCCTAATCCATTGGTTTTCATTTGGCTGCTGTACCAGCCATATTTTGTTAAGAGAAGATGAAAGGGAGAGTGAAAGATAAAGAGACATTGAGATGGAGAAAGAAGAGACAAGAGAGAGAGCAAAAATTAGATAAAGTGAAATGTATCTGATAAGGACATTCTTTTAACCTAATGGTCTTTTATGTCTTAAAAGAATGACTAGTGATCATATTCTGTATATACTGCTTGAATTAGATAAATATTTCATTCTTTAATTCACTTTTGTGGGTAAAAAGTCACCCATGATGTACAGCATTGTTGTAGCGGTCTCAGATATTCTTTCTCTCCTCAGGGTTCCAAATAACAGCAGAGCCAGCTTCAATGAAGAGGTTCCCACAAATAATAGTGTTGGCACACTCGGGAACTCAACATCAAAAGCAAGGTAGGCAGCAATTGCAAGTTGTTCCAAGAATCCTGCAAATACAGCATAGCCCCCTTCTGCAGTTAGGTTCTCTGCATTCGAATGACACATGCAGAAGGGAGCAGCCCCACCTCCAGCATTGGGCATCTGACAGAAGGAAGATCTGAAAGGGGTGGAAGCCGTATTCATTCATTATCATAAACCCTGTGCAATTGGAACCCCACATGGCATGGAGGAGCCAGTGAGAACTCTGAACACACATTGTGAAACACACATGAGTAACTGAACATACACTGGTTCCCCCTTCAGTCTTTTCACCCATTATGTGAAGCTGTGGAGATAGACCATCACATGAAGGTGATGGGGTCCTTCGGGAGACATCCATTCTCTCTAATGTGCTGGCTTCTTGCATCTTCCCTTGCTATTCTTTGGCTGTTGTTCACATTGGATTTGGCAGTAACCTTGAAATCTCGAAAAGGAAATCACACTGGCTGGCATGGGGGAGAGGAGGCACTTGCAGTCCGGACAAGGAGGGCGCACAAGCCACCTGGAGCTAGCCTTCCAAGGCTATTGCTGGGTGGCTTGTGCTGCTCTTCACCCAGCAGAACTGGCACTCATTTGAGCACTGGTTCCACGGGGCAATAGAAAAGCAAGAAACACCCCTCAGCCCATCCTCCCCTTTCCCCATTAAGGAAGACGGAAATGGGGTGGATCATGCTAAACCACTCTGGCTTATTCCTTGCTGCTGCTGCTGCTGCTGCTGCTGCTACAGTGGCAGCAGCTGGATCCCCCATGATATGCTTCCTCTCCAGGCCCCAAATGGGGTTTGAGGTAGGCTGCATGCAGTTGAGCCTGCAGTTTCCCCTGCACTTCTGCTGATGCCAGGAAGAACTGCTTGCATGCAATCCCATTCTTCCCCATCATCCAAAGTACTATTTGGCCACTCTGCCAAATTTCATTAGCTAGAGCTCATTGGCCAGAGTGGCAACCCCTTTTTGCTGCTCTGGGCAAGGGTCTTTGTAGACTTTCTGGCTCACCATGGTTAGGGTGTCATCTGAGTGCAGACAATATGCTAAATCATGGGAGTGAAGCTAAACTCTACTATAATCCAAGTCTACTTAGGGTGGTTTATATGCCTCTTCAGGGCAGATTATAAACCACCAAAGTGGGGGGGGGGGTTCATAAGACACACTAAGCCACCCCCCTTAGGGTCATGCAACCCTGGTCATTGTGTAGATTTTGATGAGGCCTATATCCTGGAGTTGGGAAGCTAAATATACAGTTATCTCCCAAAAAAGGAATGTGAATTGGAGCTATGGATTTCTTACCTGAAAGCTTTACTTTACTTGGCTATTGCAGGATTTCTCCAGTTGCAAGTTCATCCATCCCATTCACAGGAGACCATCAAATTGATGCTGACATTCTAGCTTTCATTAGAGCCAGACAGAATCTCCTGCAAAAGAAAAGTAAGTCTTACTAAATGTACTATCAGGCCCAGCAGTGATCTGTATTATAGCCTTGTAGGCTTAGGGATACTGCATGATCTCAGTCAGATTTATGACAAGGAGTCAGATCACTCCATTCTATAAACATGGCCAGAGATGGAACAATTGTTCATTGAATCTGTGTTAACACAACAGCTGTATTCACTATTGCCCTATTGTTGTTCTTAAGTGTATGTTGCCTAATTAGGATACTCTTATATCATTAATTAGGATATCTTTAATGTAATTAAAAGGCTACATGGCATTGTAAACTACTTCTTACTGTCAATCACGTTTGGGGCTATTTCTCATTATTTTCCTGTGACACAGTGTTGCTCCCATGTGTCCTTCCCAATTTGCTCCTAGATTGGTCATCCAGAAGTAGAATGAAAAGGGACGTTCCATATGGCATTATATCATCCAGCCGTGGCCTTCGCTATGGCCAAGATCCTTCTGATGCAAACTGCCTTCCTGCATTAATTGGAAGCTTCTTGCTTGCTGATTCTAACCCTTTTATTGCTGCTTGCTGAGCATAACAGTGGGATTAGGGATAAACGTTCTGGGGCCAGAAGGCTGCACTGCAACCTAGCACACATCATGGGAGCCACATGACAGCTTGGGAGCATAGCTGCCTCCCATTAACACATCTTCGCATTGAGATACACATATTATTCACACCAATCATATAGATACATACAACATTTACACGCATCATTCAAATACATAAACCTTCCCAGCTCCTTCTTCTCAACAAATCATGCAGATCAGATGAGAGGGGACATAAAGTTGTTTGCCTGCTTTAAGAGAGGCAGTATAGCCTAGGGAAGAAGCTAGTAAGCTGGATACTGAACTTCTATAGGCTGTATGCAGCCTGTGTGCCAGAGTTTCCCCATACTTGCCATCACTGATAAGAATCTCAGAAGAGCCCTGCTGGATCAAATCAATGATCTAGACAGTCCAGCATCTTGTTTCCAACCTGAAGCCTTTGGGAAATTGATGAAGGCTTGAAGACAAGAGCCTCTTTCATTTTTTTCCCTGAAAAACTTGTAGAAGCATATTGGCTTTGAACTAGATCACTGTTTTCAGACCAGTCTACCCTGAATTTCTCTAACCCTTTTTTAAAGTCTGTGCTATTGGTGATCACTGTATCTTGTGACAGTGAATTCCATAAATTAATTATATGTTGTGTGAAGTGTTTGTTCTTGCTTGTCTGGAATCTCCTTATCAATTTCACTGGATGATCCTGAGTTAGCATATTATGAGTGAGACTTATCTCTAGCTACTATCTCCACACAGTCTCCAATTTGACAAACTGCTGCCATGTCTCCTTTTTGTCACCATTTTTTCTGCACTAAAATAAAGCCACACCAAACATTTTAACCTTTCATCTTAAATAAGATGATCTGATACTACCTGTGATCATTTTCTTTTCTCTTTGCTGCCCTTTTTCCAGCTCTAGAGTATCCATATGCTTTTTGAGATGGGTTAAGATCACGGGCTATGAAGGGGGTGGTACTGCTACTTCACTGCCCACTCTACCAGTTAGGAACAAATTATATAGCCTATTTTAATTGCCCCTTTAATGTCACATTCTGTTCTCAAGGGTAGGAGGGACTGATGCCACCTTTTTGCTTTTGAATACCTCCGCAAACCTACTTTTTAGTCACAGTCATAACCTTACTGTAACTAAAGCTAAGTAAAGCTTTACGTGACTGAAATAATTACACATTCTTCTTCCCTATGTCCCTGCACTCTTGTCTCTCATGTCCTGGTCTTTAGAGTATCAATCCATTAGGAAAGTTCTTTCAAAACATCATGAATGAGGATTGCAAAGTATGAATTTATGCTAATTCCAGAGTAAAAAAGACTGGCATGGAAGCAACTAGTGCCTGAAATGCACATAAATCACAACATGAAAAGAAAACATCCAATTTATGTATCCCGAGGAAGATCGGAATATTCACAGGTTCTAGAAGCGTTGCAGCACATCCTGATCCTGTGATGATGGTTACCTGCTGTAGCATATGCAGCAATTTGTGCTGCCCCATCTTGAGCTTAGCAAGCAGTGATGTTTTCTTTTTCTGTATTTCCTATTAGGAAAGTGTGGCACAGTAATGAATCTAATTATTGTGAGGAGAAGACGGGCAACACCAGCATTAGGCAAGGAGAGGCAGAGCTCACCACCTCAGCCAACAGATTTTGGCATATCAATAAAAGCCAATTATTTTCTTTATTACTTTATTGGAAGTGCTATTGGAATTTTCTGCCTCAGGCGCTGATGGAGCATGGAAAAGGATATTGAGGAATGCTGAGTAATGGCTGTCTAGAAAAGAAGTAGCTACACAGAACTGAGTCAAGGACTTGTCTATGCAGGAACCCATTCTCCAGAATGGTTGACACTTAGGAGAAAACTACTGTTCATTGTGTAAGACTTCACCCAAGCTTAAAATATGTTTCCATAAACATTTCCACCATCTGATGATGATCTCACTAGTTTTTGAACAATTTCCATATGGACTGTGTTATAAATCCTGGGGAGGTACATGAGTCTCTCTCAGTCTCTTTCACTCTCCCAAGCTGCACTTAAGCTTTAAGGCAAAGGTACTGATCCCAAGCCAGTAAAAGTTTGCTTCCCTGATCCTCCAGCCTTCTCTAGTGCTAGAGAAGTAACCTGCTTTTATCTCCAGTCACTGATAAAAGATAACACCAGGGACTCCAGCTCTTATCTCTGACTGAAAATAAGAACAGGTATTTCCTCCTTTACTGCTAGAAAGAAGTCTTTCTGTAGTGCCAAGAGGGGCTGTCCTTATTCAGATGGATGCAGGGGCAAGCGACATCAAGGGTGGGATCTTGGGGTAAGGATGAAGTTTTTCCCCAGGATGAACTAAAGGCAATCTGGCCCCAATGCTAGAAGCATTCTCCACCCTAGCTTGAATATGAAATAGGGTCTATAGTTGTAAATACTATTTATGAAGTTTATCCATTGTGAAAAAGGAATGGACAGATTCTGTAAGAGGAGCTTCTGTGTGTGGACACCTGCATTTATACGCACCACATCAGTGGAAGAGGATGCTTGAGTTGGGATTCAGTCCCCAAATTCCATCTCAGGTATACACAACATGCACAGACTGTGTGAGTAAGTACCCAAATGATGGGTGTATTACACTTCATTCTCTTATGAAGGTAACTAAAAAATGGCAAGGAGTAGAGGACATTCAGCAATAAGACAACAGTGGCACCTAAAGGTAGCAAGGAAGTTATTAACCCAAGAGAAAAACGAGTTATCCTTTGCAGCAGTCATTCTGTAGAGACAGGAACAAATTATACAGTGCACATAGAAGCAGCTGTGATTAGTGAAGCAATAGCTTACCATCACCACTCAAGTGCTGATGACAGCATTACTCAGCAAGCTATCAGCACCTGCCAGATGGTGTTAGCATTATCCCATAGTGGGGGTTTTGTCTATCTCTTTGGTTATCAGCAATAATTGTTGGGTGTAAACAGAGAGGCTGCAAAACCAGCCACCTTCCTGCATCTTGAGCAAACATTCTACACACTTAGGCTTTGAGATGTCATGTGCCTCAATTTAGTAAACTTGTTCTCAGGATCCTTCTGAAGATATAATTAGGTTGAATTGTTTGCTATTCTGCAAAAAAAACCCCAAACAAACCCCATCATTTAATACAATCAGTGAGTTTAAGGAAGGAACCCTTGGTTTTTAAACCAGCTCATTTATAGCTTATCAAAGGGACCATCTTAGTGACAAAAGCACAACTTGGTCGTCTAATTTCAGTATACCAAGAACACCCAGTCAACAAAGTACCAAATGTTACTCATGCCCTTGCAAAATCCTGGTGGGGCTATTTCTAGATCATTTTTAGTAGTTATATAGGATTTATAGATCTGGGCAAACAGCAGTTCCACCAAGAATTTTAATCTGCCAGGACCATTTCTGACATTAAACAATAGCACCTGTTCATTAACCAGAGGCTATTTCACCTATTTGTTCAGTGGTTCAAGAAACAGCAAATACATAATTGGATGATCTTAGAGTGGATTATATGGGCTACTTCAAATGTTACCATTTCTGTGCAAGGAATTATTTCTGCCTAGAAAAACTGCATGAAAACAGTGTGAGAGTGAGTGAAGGGAAAGTGACTCAACAACCACTGGCTTGGATCTTAAGATATTAACCTAAAGAAGCTCTCAAAAGAAAAGTTCATCAAATCTCCTTCTCTACACACACGTGTGCCTCTTGTATTTACTTGTACCCCCCAAAAAAGCCTCTCTAAAGAATCGAGGGGCTCTTAAACTATGTGTAATGGAGCATGGGACGTTTATTTAGAAAAGGGGGGGTAGTGTTTGGCTGCTATTTTGTCCTGGTAATGTGCCGGAGCCCAGAGGGTACCAGGGATGCTTGAGGGTGATCAGAATGAACTTGCAGGATTTTGGTAGCTTCAAATGGCCAATTTGCTCACCATTTACATGGGCTTGGTTGTCAGGCTGCTCAAACCCTCATGGCTACTGGGATAATTATAGAGCTGTATTGGTGAATCACCAGACAGCACAGGTGGCCGGTCCGTTCTTGTGGTACACTCTGATTTGAGAATGAGGAATTTGTATTGTACTCCCTTATCATGGTCAGATCCATTGCCTGGTAAGATTTAGACTCAGTGTGGCTACTTCCTTCTTGTGAGGTTGGTGGGCCTGTTAGGTTGATGTACCCTCAAAGGCTGATGGATTGAGGTAGATTTCTGAGAGTCCTTGGAGAATTTCCACTTGACATGGCTGGCAATTTTGTCAACATTCTTATCACTTGGTGGGCTAAAGGGATGACCTGGGCAAATAATAAAATTGCTCACACATATCCTCCCCTACTGCACAGCTCATAAATTACTTAAATGCAATTCTGAATAATATTGACATTCCCATAAGAACTACTAGCGACATTCTCAGAAAGTAGGGGTTTTTTCCACAATAAACTTTGGAAGAAAAA